CCAGCGTGAGAGCCAACAGTTGACTGACACGAATGTTAGCTAGCATGCAGAAAAATCGATAGCTGCATTCGTCACAAGTGGGAAAAATTTAAATCTGCATGTCACTTTACTCCAATTGGCTCATTCGCTTGCTTAAACTCAACGTTGATTCTGATTCCGCAGAAGTGGGTTCGGTGTGAAAAAGTATTTGTTGTTAACATTCTTTTTTCATTCGGTTTTTCCAGTTACGAGACCTTTTTTAAAGCTGATCGTTTTGTGTTCATTTTGTCCAGATTTTTTGTTTAGTATAGATCTTAGAAAAAATTCGCAGTGTGAGATAGGCAAGAAGTAAGGCATGTAGCAACATCAGATCGGCAAAGGACACTTCTTTAAAGGCAAGGATGGCAAAAATATTTTAAGTCAAGTGATTGCTGCATGAGTCGTAGGATTTTTTAATCAAGAACGGGAAACGCCGGGCCATGCTGCTAGTATATATATATATATATGTATATATATATATATATATATATATATATATATATATATATATGTGTGTGTGTGTGTGTGTGTGTGTGTGTGTGTGTGTGTGTGTATACATGTGTTTCCATTCTCTCACTTTAATAATATAGACTCTTATTAAGGTCTATTGAATTCTATTATCCTATAAGAGAGATATATGACCAGTATCGCTTTACGTCCGTAAATTTGTGAAAATTTCCATAAGTAAGATAGAAGACGTAATACGACACCATGAATCATCCTGCATGACTGAATATTCTAAAGATGAAATATGGTTCTAAAATATGTTAACTCTTTCCAATATATCCCTTCAAAATCAAAATTCCCTTATCGACACTCCTCAGCCTCTCTTTCATCTAGTATATCATCAATATTTGACAAAGAATTAGAGCTACACCCGAGGGAATACAGAATCAATGCATAACCGACATATATTCTTTACCTGTCATTGGGTAAACCGATGTCTCACGAGGTACGCCATGTCGTAGAATTAAGTGTCTCCACAACTTTTTCACCTTTAGAACTCTAAGAAATGTTTGCGTTCCTTGTCCTGCCATCGATTTACACAAACTCGTCAGGTAAGTTACACTATGTTTCTTTCTGCCCCTCTTGCCCCCTATATGTCCTATGAGTGTCAGATTCTTGCAGCCCCCTTTCCTCATTATGGGTCTCAGATATTCCCATTATCTCTTTCTATGTATAAGTGGGCTTTTTGTTTCTATTTTCCTTAAAACTTCCTCATTGCTCGCAAATTCAATCCATAGAATTCTCAGAATTCTTCTGTGTAACCACATCTCTGTTGTCACAAATTTCCTCTTCACTCTGGGATTAATTCGACTTGCTAGCCATTGGTCTCATTATCCATTGATGCTAGAAGGGAAATACTCTTCCATAAGTTAAACAGATATGCCTACGGATGATCGGATTTGTAGGTAAGATCAGTTCAAGTTAAAATTTGAGACGAGCTGGGGATAATTGTTTTTTGTTTGTTTTTTTTTTTTCATTTTTTCTTATTTAGTTTTTAAATGATTATTTATTTTATTTAGTTATTAACTATTTTTATTTAATTCTCTTTACAATAGGTTTTTATTTTTTTTATTTAATACTCTTCACAATATGCTTTCAAATAAAAATTATAAGAATTTGCAGTAAGAGTACCCAATGAAAATACGCGTTATTCAGTTGAACGGATGGCGTAATAGATAAGACGTCAGACTCAATCGGATGATTGTGAGTTCGAGTCTTGTCGTAGATGTCTCTCGGTAGCGAACTTCTTAAAAAGGCAGGGCCGGATATCCCGGGATATACAGATTATTTCGCTAATAATAGAAAATCTGCACGTTTGTTATCCACGGTTGTGTCATCAGACTGAAAGGGAAATTATCTCTCGCAACGCAGATTTCGTTCAAATTCTGTGTGTATGTACTTTTCAGTGTGCCCATTTAAATTTTAATTCAATGATAGATCTAAAAATATTTCTACAATTTTTTAAAAATAATTATAAATTATTACTTAAGTTCAATAAAGCCTCATAATTATTTGGTTATTTTGAGGTTTAATTTTTTTTCTTGTCTCCAACTTTAAGATTTTATTGTCCATCCCAGGGTTGGGGTCATCCAGACTGAGTGGGAGGGAAATATATTATTTCAATGTCTTATTTCAAACTTAGCAAAATTGTGTGTGCATATGTGTGTGTGCGTTTGCTTGCGTGTACATTAAGCACATGTTTGGGAGCGTTCTGACAGAGGACAGTAAATGTGATACTGAGATCCGTAGACGTATTGAGATAACCAAGGACACATTCCAAAAGCTGGGTAGGGTAGGGTAGGGTATGGCGAGACAGGAGGATTTCTTTGGTAACAAAGAAAAGAATACTGGGCTGTTACGTGACATCTTTCCTTCTTTACGGCAGCGAATGTTGGACTATTTCCTCAAAGATGAAGAAGAGACTCGAGGCGCTGGAGATGTGGTTCTAAAGAAGGAGGCTACGGATATCATGGACCGAGCATGTGAGCAACGATGAGGTCTTAGAGAGGATGCAAACAAGGAGAAGGCTTATACTTAACATCAGGAAGAGGCAGCTGAAGTTCCTTGGGACACATAATGAGGAAGGAGGGTCTAGAGAATCTGATACTCACGGGTCGGATAGAGGGAAAGAGAGACAAAGGAAAACAACGCATGACATACTTAGCGGTCTTAAGCAAGTGGATGACAGAACATGGTCTGGGGGAGGTGGCAGAGGGAAGGAACGTGTTGAAGGCTGCAAGGAGAGAGGTGGGAAGCCATGAAAGGTCACGGCACATAAAAAGAAAGAAGTCACTCACGCATAATGCATATACAGGGTGTTCCAAAATAATGTATATACTCTTTGAATCGTTATAACTTATTCAATTTATGTATTTTGACTTGTAAATAAGATTAATACAAGAGAAAGAATACACATTTAAAGAATTGAGAGTAGAATATACATAAAACATAGAAAATTAACTTTAATAAGATAAAAGCTACTTGGAGCCGAATGTTCATATAATGATGAGTTCACATGAAGTGCTCAAAATGGTTGCCGTTCAATTCAATACACTTTTCATATCTTGAAGAAATAGGCCTACAAACGTCCAGTATCATTTCCTCTGGCATTTGAGCACATTCTTCTTGAATTGCTACTCTTATTTCAGCAATAGTTTCAGGTTTCCTGCTGTAAACTTTGTCTTTTAGAAACCCCCACAAAAAGAAATCTAAGGGTGTTAAATCTGGTGATCTAGGTGGCTATTCAACTGTCCCTCTTCTTCCAATCAATCTGTTTTGCATATTTTCATCCATATAACTTCTCACGTCACGGTAATATATTATTAACTATTAATATTTAAAGAGTGTATACTTTATTTTGAGACACCCTGTATATTATACAGGCGCATACAAATTCACGCATCTTTTCATTTCTAATATAGATTAAAATTAGTCATTAAACAGACGTTCGAATAATGGATTTTATAATGGTATCAATTTGATGCTCACATCCCTATATGTAGCATAAACATGCTTTTAGAAGTCTTACCATGATTTATTGTTGACGGCCACAATCTTAACAATATAAGGTATGCAGATGACACAGTGTTGATAGCAGACACAGAAAGAAAACTACAAAAGCTTGTAAAACAAGGAGTAAGTATAAACCAAGTTATCAACAAAAGAATGAGCATAAAATGCAAATTACAAATCGGGGATGCTAAAATCAAACAAGTACAGAAATTTAAATATCTGGGAAGTGTTCTAACAGAGAAGGAAAAGTGCGACACTGAGATCCGAAGACATATTGGGATGACCAAAGCTGCATTCGAAAAGCTAACCAGTATATCAAGAGTGTTGTGGATTCCGGGTTGAAATCCGGTACCAATAAATAACAAACGCCAGGAATGAATATATGAACATAATGTATTAACGTAATAATACAAACTGGTAAAGCAGGTTAGTAGTTCCAGGAATACGGGTTAGTAGCAAAATATATATACAGTCTTTGGTATTGAAGTATCGCTGTATGACTTCTTACTGAGTCTACGTGCTCGCTCACTGTGACTCCTACAACGCTGTTACCTCACCCTCACTCTTCCGGTTACCTACAACCTTTTACTCTGTCACTCTAGACTCGACTCAATTCTTCGGTCTTGCTCTTGTTTCGGGTCTTCACGTAGCCGTAGTATATGTATATACTGGGTGAGTCCATTTGTGTAAAAAGGGGAGAACCCCTCAACAAAGAGACAGAAAACTTTTGTTACACAAAAAACCAGTACTACACTGTTATAGGATATCCACATTCCTGTATGGCAGCGAAAGCTGGACAATCTTCTCAAAAATGAAGAGACTTGAAACAACAGAAATGTAGATCTACAGAAAGATGCTGAGGATACCATGGACCGAACATGTAGGCGACCACGAAGTTTTGGAGATAATGGAAACAAAAAGAAAACTTATACTCGATATCAGGAAGAGGCAGTTGAAATTTCTGGGGCACGTGATGTGGAAGGAGGACTTGGAAAATCTGACACTCATGAGAGAAAGATAGACAGAGGAAAAATGCGTGTAACATACTTGATGAGCTTGAGCAAACGGATGGTAGGGGAGTTTGGAAGAAATAACAAAAAGACAACACTTATTAAGAGCTAAAAGGGACAAAAAGGCGTGGAGGGCCATGTCTGCTTATGTCCTGAAAGGACACGGCACATAAAAGAAGACTGAGAATCTGATGGTCACTGATAATCTATCGTGATGATAGCGGTAGACAACAAACGCGGTGGTCGATAGCCGTTGCTTTAAGAAGACGTAGAATAAAAATGGAAGGGTTGAACAGGAAAAGATTTCTCTATTTCAAACCGTCTAAAAATCTCCGATCTCACTAAAATATCACTTGGAAGACGTGCTTGAGCGCAAATAGTCTTGGAGTACTTGACGTTTTTATATATGCGTTCACTGACCCCGTCCACATCAGCATCGGATGAACGATCACAGCCACATCACGTTGTAACACCGGTTCGCGTACGATCACCAGAGTTAAGCAATATCGAGCCTGGTCACTACCAAGATGGGTGATCACTTGCGAATTCTTAGATTTGCGGGTAAGGTAATGGGTCGGAATTCTAATCGAAGAGCCGAATTAAAATTCCTTTTGTTTTCGTTATATTCACTTATACATAAATAACCATGTGAAAGGTATTAACCCGCCTCCCCAACTATGGGTTAATTAGTAACACTTTTATCACTAAATCATAATTATCTCTCAAAAACTTTTTACAACCTAAAAATATTTTCTAGCTTTAAATAACCTGCAACCTGTTGATAAACCGTAAAAAGGAATCAATAAATAAATAACATTTGATGACGTAAACATGGTTGGGCACATGATGCGCAACGGGTTTTTTTTTCCTGTCTTTTCTTTTTTAATCATTTCACTCCAGGCAAGACAATAAAGTCACTAAGGCACAAGGTGTTACTGTGTATGAAAGAAGATGAGAAAAATAAAAATATTATTAAGGAGAGAGAACAATAAAAGAATAGGAATTAAGAAGACAGAAGATGACGATTGACATTGCATTTAAATTTTGGAAGGTTAAAGATAATTGAAGAGCAAGAAACCGGAAGAGATTTCCACATGCGACAAGTTCGAAAGAGAGTAGCTCTTAGTTATGGTTAAATATAACAATTTCAACTGTAAAATTATGCAACCTAACTGTCAATCAAGTACTGCATTTAAATTTGTATTAGATCGATGAATAAGGTTCATCATTTTTCAATTGAAATAGCTAGATATAATTGTAAGTTTCTTCTCTTGAACTTCTCGCTTGTGGAACTCTCTTCCAGCCTCTTGCTTTCCAATCAACTTTGATCTTCAAAGAGTTAATTGGGTATTCCTTTAATCAGATCATGTTAGTGAATATGTGATCCGTGTCTTTTGATAACACCAGCCATTAGCGCTTTTTCATCAAAAATCTTTACTGCATACATTATAATACTAATATGTTTTGGTTTGTTTTACGGCATATCAACCTCAATGGATTATTTAAAGCCGGCAATTTTTTATTATTATTTTATTTTTTTTCTTTCAAAAATCTATTTATGGCAATATTTCTGGCATTTCTTCAAAATGTATCGCTCGTAATATTTTTACCAAAAAATATATAACTGTTTTTTTTTTTCAAAAATATATAGCTGGTAATAATGTATTGCTGGTAATAATTTTACAAAGTATTTCTGGTATTAAAACCTATTTTTACACTTTCATGGTGTTTTGACCCCAGTTTGGGGGTTAGCTATTTACCCATAGCTGGGACCCTAACAGCTGCTACCATCCCGGGTCAGGGTGGACCTGGGAACAATAGCAATTAAGAGGTGGCTCCACACTCCTCAAAACCTCCTGATCAGAGGCCTTGCTGTCGGACGTAGTTTATCGTCTTACCCAGGACACGGATGTAGTATATCGTCATACCCAGGACGGACTAATATGGTTAGCACCATAACATGGTGCTCGTTTCAGTATCAAACAGGACTTTTATCCACCGTGAGATATTTGGTGTAGAGTGGTCTCACCTGGAAACGCAAGAAACCGGAAGTTATATGGGTACACATAACAATTTCAACTGTTCCTTCTCCAAGTTTACTTGCTCATGACGAACAGAGTCTGGAAATCAAAACAGATCTATTGGTTTCATTTCCACGATTTTATTATTATTATTATTATTATTATTAGTGTTCACTTAATATAAGGTCTAAGAGAGAAAAAAAGGAAGATTCTGCGAGCGGAAAAGAAAGAAAGAAAGAAAGAAAGAAAGAAAGAAAGAAAGAAAGAAAGAAAGTTCACTTGCTCATGACGAACAGTCTGGAAATCAAAACACATCTATTGGTTTCATTTCCACAATTTTATTATTATTATTATTATTATTATTATTATTATTATTATTATTAGTGTTCACTTAATACAAGGTGTAAGAGAGAAAAAAGGAAGATTCTGCGATCGGAAAAGAAAGAAAGAAAGAAAGAAAGAATATGCAAATATCAATGTGGTACTATGTTTGACCCGATCAAGCTTTCTATCAACTAAGCATGCCACTGTCAAAACTTTTGTCATCCGAGGTTCCTGTATGCACTGCATGCCTTAGATTTTTTGCGTAATGGAAAATTAATTATCAGTAATAACACTCGTGATAATTTTTAAATATTCCATTCCCTTGTTTCTTAAGACAAACTGTAAACAAGCGAAATTAATAGAGCAGTGTAAGCAAAGAAGGTCTCTTCCCGCTTCAGTTCCATACATACCACAGAGGACGTGTTAGAACTGGTTGAAAGAGGATTTAGTGGTTAAGATTAAGTGAGCAAGAAAAGAATTAAGAAAAATCAGTGAAGTCAGCTGATTCTCCCTGTTCTACCTACCTCTTCTACCTCTTACTCTTTTGGTGGGGACGATGGAAAAATTGCGGGATTCGATTAGAGGGAGAGAAGCCAAACTAAAGTGAAAGTTCAAAGGCAGAATATTCGGGGATTTTTCTGCTTCCAGCCATAGTCAGTTCTGTTGTCTTTAATAAGAACAGTTTTCTATCGTAACCAATTAACGGCCATCATAGACTGCATACCGTGGTTCCAAAATCAACCTTCCTCACTGTTGCCAACATCTCCAGCAATGACTTCACGCCTTCTCCAAGTTCGCTTGCTCATGATGAACAGCGTCTAGAAATCAAAACAGATCTATTGGTTTCGTTTCCACATTTATTATTATTATTATTGTTCACATAATACAAGATTTAAGAGCCACTCAAGGTAGAGGGTTACTGAATGAAGTCGTTGTATGGATATTAGACAGAAACAAAAAGTTCAAATCATGGCTATCTGGAACAGATAACAGTTGACCAGAGATATGCAAAGATTAAGATTATATTGATTGAGGAAGCACCCTCTCGGGAGTGTTATTTTTCCCCCGCAAAGTGGTGGTTCTTAGAAAGAAGCCGTCCAAATGGAACTTTCTTCTTACCAATGGAATACGAAGAGAACGGGAATGATTTATCCCAGTGACATGGTGTGGATCTTTGTTGGAATGGCCTGAACATGTAGAATTAATGAATGTAGCTCTTCAGAAGCACCATGGAAATAGCGAGAGATTAGCAAGGGTTTTGCGACATCTTGTTTCCTGGGAAAGGGGTTGCAGAGGGTCTGCTTTTTCTTCTTGAATATGCAAATACCACTGAGAGAGGCTTCATCGTATCGGACATCAGATTGCTTCTCAAACACGCACCAAGGCTAAGCAATAAATATCATGATGAGAAAAGACATTTAGTTCCAGCGAATCAAAAATAAATAATTGTTGAGAAAGATCTTTCTCTCTGCCAAGAAGACAACCCCTATCTTTTGAATGCTAGAATATTTGCTTCTTATCCAATTTGTGACGTTTGATGTATTACGAATTGCATACTGTGAAATGAAGAAGTAGAAATCTTAAACTCAAGACGCCTTTTTTTATCCGCTTTGTACTTTAAAAAAAAAACTGACTCCGTTGACATGCGCATAGGGATAATCTATATATGGAATTGACGGCAGGAGAAAAAATGGTTCTGTAATCTGTCGAATTTCATTGAAATAGATGGTCTTCTGCTTTCGGAACGGGAGCTTACAAATCACATTGCGATGAAAGACTATAGCACTGGATTAGAAAGAAAGAAAGAAAGAAAGAAAGAAAGAAAGAAAGAAAGAAAGAAAGAAGTGATCTGAAAAGAAGGAAGGAGGAAAGAAAGAAAGATTCTGTTATCTGAAAAGATAAAAGATTATGTGATATGAAAAGAAAGAAAGAAAGAAAGAAAGAAAGAAAGAAAGAAAGAATGAAAGAAGTGATCTGAAAAGAAAGATAAAAAAGATTTTGTGATCTGAAAAGAAAGAAAGTAAAAAAAGAAAAAATGAAGGAAAAAGAAGGAAGACTCTGCGGTCGGAAAAGAAAGAAAGAAAGAAAGAAAGAAAGAAAGAAAGAAAGAAAGAAAGAAAGAAAGAAGTTTCTATGATCGGAAAAGAAAGAAAAATAATGAATTAACAAAAATGATGGAAGATTCCGTGATCTGAAAAGAAAGAAATAAAGAAAGAAAAGGATAGAAATAAGGAAAGAGAATAAAAAAGAAAGAAAGAAAGAAAGGAAATCAAAGAAAGAGAAAAGAAGTAAGATTCTGTGATATGAAAAGAAAGAAAGAAAGAAAATAGAAGGAAGATTCTGTGATCAAAAAAAAGAAAAAGGAAAAAAGAAAGAAAAAGAATGAGGATCATATGATCTGATAAGAAAGGAAGAAAGAAATAACGAAAGAAATTTCTGCGCTCTGATAAGAAAGAAAAAACTTTTTGTAACCTTGAAAAGAAAGAAAGAAAGAAAGAAAAAAAGAACCAAAAAGAAAAGGAGTTACTGACAATTTTAATGAAGAAGAAGGGAGAAGTAGAAATCAACGTCGAGCTGTGTTGTCACAACTGATTATCGTATCCCATATTTCGATCGCTATGTGCAGAGTTCGCTGCAAACACATGATGCCAGTTTTCACACAACAAAACTGATAAGAGAGGAAATCCTCAAGTCTCCAAATCCCAGATTTTCTGCTCTATTCTTTATTTATTGCCTTTCTCTTTTGCTTTCCAGGAAATTCAAGAATATTATATGGTCGCGTTGCTTCTCTCATAATTGGGGAGGAGACACATTCAGTTGAGGCAGAGATTAGCGATGGGAACCGTGGAGGAATATGTCAAACAAACAAAAAGTCAGAGAAACCTACATTACGTTCTATGATTCGTAAGAAATATTTTTACGGCAAAATGTTGAAGCATTGTTACTCTTTAGTCTGCCATTGTAATTAAAACGAAAAACTCCAGCTAAGAAGCTCCCTAAACTTTTTAGACCCTCATAGAAACCTTGATCCTTCATCGACCTCCAGGTATGTCGGGAAATTTCCACATGCATTAGATATGGTAAACTGCCTACCAAACCCTGCTCGACTGTTATTCTGTATATCCTCTTCTAAAATCTTCTCTCATGAAACATCGGGACAAATTGTTGATATAATATAGTATATATGTAAAGTAAATTCAATGTTTCTTTGATCACTACAAACGTAGCGCCGTTAGTTGTCACAACTACTTATCCTAAAAGAAAGAAAATGCTGTGATCCGTTAAGAACGAAAAAAGAAGCTTTTTGTGACACGAAAAGAAAGAAAAAAAAGAAAAAAAGAAAGAATAAAAAAGAAAGAACGAACGAACGAATGAAGATTATGTTATTTGAAAAGCATGAAAAATACAAAGAAAAAAGATCATTTTATCTGAAAAGAAAAAAGAAAGACAATTATGTTATCTGAAAAGAAAGAAAGAATTAAAAAAGAAAGAAAGAATAATGATGGAATAAAAAAGAAAGAATATTCTGTGATCTGAAAAGAATGAAAGGAAGGAAAGAGGGAAGATTCTGTTACCTGAAAAGAAAATGCAAAGGAAGAAGATTATGTTATTTGAAAATAAAAAAGAAAGAAGGCAAAGTCTGTGAACTGAAAAAAAGAAAGAAGTTTCTGTGACCTGAAAAGAAAGATAAAAGAAGATCATGGGATCTGAAAAAAAGAAAGAAAGAAAGAAAAAGAAGAAAGATTCTGTGAAAAGTAAATTCTGTGTAAAGTAAATCCAAATTCAATGTGACCTAGGTTACTACAATCTTAACCTGTTCAAGTCTAGGGATTACCTTTATCTTCCACACATAAGCTCATAACTTGTCCCCCTAACCTGTTACTCTGTAACCCTATACCTCGAGTGACTCTTGGGCCTGTACAGGGTGAACATTATTGTAAAAAACAAACAAGTATTACAATGTTTTGCGATTTCATGTTCAATCGACCGTTTTCCAATTTTGAAATATCGTTTTTGATGTTAAAAACCAACTGAAGAGTTTTAATACCAAACGTTGCAGAAGTATGACTATGAATTAAATTCATTCATTTTCTAATACCAGACATGGTTAATCCCGAATACCCGAGCGATATAAATATTTATCTTATCACATTGCTGAGCGAATACGTTCCAATATGAAAGGGTTCTTCTAAAGTCTCAACTAATAGTCCTTTATATCAATTCAATTATTTTACGTCACTTTACAAAGACGAGACAAAGAATAATACATTATTGAGTTGCCTGGCTTGAATTCATATTTATAATCAAAACAATAGGAAACCTCAGTTTTCAATATAATTCATATGGTTATTAAGAAATATCTCGGTAACGACAGGAAGTTATATTAGATGTGTTCATATTTAGTTTCGCACGACAAGACAAAAAGTATTCAGTCGTTTTTGCTTATTTGATGTAACAATATGAAAGCATCACTTTTGGCTAATACAGTGCTGTTCGATAAAAGTGACTCACCTGATTTTTTTTACTTAAATTTTTTTTCGCCTATTATTTTTGGGGTCAAACTAATTTTTAATGATACTAATAAAAAGACCCCTTCCCGACCACCTAGTAAAAAGTTTATTCACCCTAAGATATTCTATTGATAATTATAATTTTGGATGTAAATGAGATTTAGAGAAAAACTCTATGCAAAAAAATGACTCACTTATTTCCTGCAACTAGTAGTCAATAGAAACATAACCGAACAGCTTTAAATAAAGAATAATAGAGGTATAATTTATTTATAATAGGTAATATAGTTCGAAATATTTAATAATCTATGTGTCCTCCTTTATTTTGAATAACATTTTCAACCCTTTTTGGTATTGACTTGATTAGGTTCTGGCAAATCTCATCTCCAAGCATTGAATTCCATTCGGATATGAAATTCACAATCAAATCCTCTTTGTTGCTCAACTGCTTTCTCGAGAGCCTGTACTTTATAATGTTCCATAAGTTTTCTATGGGGTTGAGGTCAGGAGATTGGGGCGGACATATTATAACACTCACCTGCTTTTCATCAAAGTATTCCTTCATCAATTTTTATTTGTGACACGGAGCATTATCCTGCATAAAAATGAGCGTGGTGGGGTCGATTTGCACCCTTTCCGAAGAAGGGAGCAGACAAGACTGTAAAATTCTCTTTTACTGCTCGCTACTGAGGGTCTTTTCAATAGGTTTTAAGAAACCAGTTCAATGAAAAGAAAAGCATCCCCAGAACATTATACTGAATGGATGCTTGACAGTACTTACTGCTAAATTCAAAGAGCTTTCAAAGCTTCTTCTTCGGATTTTAGATCGCTTCTTCTTTGAATTTAGCTCAACTTTCGTTTCATTGGAGAAGAGAACATTTAGTAAAAAAAAAATCAGGTGAGTCACTTTTATCGAACAGCGCTGTATATTCAGAATACGGTTCAGGGGCTAAAAAACGAAATATTCAGACGTGTATTTTTTTTAAATTTCTATACTAAAAATGTATGCTATAGATATATGTTAGATGTAATACCTAAATCGGTTAAACGGAATTAGTTAGAAAGAGATGTCTAAGTGAAGGCAAGCTCTGATTTTTCAAACCTAAATACCCAATCTTGGGAAAGAATTCTGGAATAAACCCTGAGGATAAAATGCGGAGCTGGAGTAACAAAAGCGGTTCAAACTTACATCCAATTTCGTTCTAACAAATTCTGCGGCGACATGCGTCACGATCAGTATCCACGACAGTGTTTCCCTTGGGCAACATTGGCGGCGGAAAGAAGGAAGGCGTCCAAGAAAAGAGATTCCGGCCTCGCCTCACCTGCGCACGATTGGTGAAATAAACTCTCCGCTACCACCACCTTTTTTTTTTAATTCACCAGATTCATATCAATGTTTTTTTTTTTTTATTTACTGCTGTTTGCCGAATACAAGCCCTAAGAGACACTCATGTTAGAATACTGAATAAGGTTGTTGCATGTCGGGATCGGTTGAGCCTAGACTTGTAGTGGTTAAGATTACAGTGATCAGGAAAGCATCCTCTTGAGAGTTCCACTATGGAGCAGCTCTTGGGAAGAGCTTTTTTTGTTTCGAATGGAACTTTTATGATGCCAACGAACACTCGTTGCCGCTTAAGTGATGCCAACGAATACTCGTTGTCACTTTCGTAATGCTCGTTGTAGTAGAGACTTTGTAATCGCAGATACATCTATAGTACGCCGTTGAACAATGCTGGTTTCAGACGCCTTCGAATATCACTCGCAATAATAGTATTCGCTCGAATAGTAATCACCGAATAGTGATCCGAATAGAGAAATAGTATGGTGAATAGAGAAGAGAATAGCAATCCGTATGTTAATAGAGGATAGATTAGAAATGGCGATCCGTATAGTAATAGAAAATAGACTAGAAACTGCCGATCAATTAGACGTCACGCAACTTCCTATATATGCGTTTGCTCTATGGTCACGTGATCCACTTAATCCAATAATGGTATCGCCTGTGTTTATTCTCTGACGATCTATGTTCAATCTCAAGTGTCGGCAGCGACACTTTATTCCTATGTAACAGGGACTTCCTTCTTAGTAATGGAATACGGATAGAAAGAATATACTGTACATGGCATGACGAGTTGTCGCCGTAAAGGTCTGAACTGGTGGAACTAGGGAATGAAACTCATCATGATATTTTCTATGGAAACAGTGATAGAATAGCGATAGACTTGCGACGTTTCGACTGTGCAAAAGGGTCGCAGGGTGGATAATTCATCACTGACAGAGCCACGTAGACGCATTTGAAATCTGTCAAGGCTGGAAAAGGAAGATTGTGTAGCTTCAGCCCAGGTATAGCAGTCGTACTCCATATTTGTTCTGAACTGACTCTTGTAAAGACAGACCATGACAGCAAGAGTCAGTCCCTTTCAGGATTTGTACAAGGAACCGACCATTTTGCTCTCTCGAGACACAGCTTCATATTTATCAATATATTAATTAGATATGGTTTCTTTCGTATCTGTCTGAGGTATTATGTACACTCTTTACATTGTTCAGACTATCGTCCTCATCTTTGTTGCCATATCTATCACAACGTTTCGGCCGTTGTACGCTCCGGCCTTCTTCTCAAGGACACATGGCACAGTGGATAAAGGCGTTAGTTAGATCCAGTGACAGGGCTCAAAGAGTTGTGAGTTCAATACCTGGTTAAGGCGATGGAGAACTTGGAGAGGAGAATTAGCAGGAGGTAACTGATAACTGAGATCCATTAGACATGACACGTGGAACTAGAACAGTCTACCCCAATGAGCGAAATAAAAGGTTCAGTTTGACATTCCAACCACCTGAAGAAGGCTGGAGCGTACAACGGCCGAAACGTTTGATAAATATGGCAACAAATATGAGGACAATAGTCCGAATAATGTAAATAATGGTTTCTTTCGGTGACAACTGAGTATATTCGTCGTCCTAAGTGTTCAAACGCGGGTAAAAACAAGAATTTCGAAGACAGACTACTATTATTTTCGTTTTCCTTCATTTCATCTTTGTTGGATTAAGCAAAGTTTGTTAACTATATTTATATTAAATATATACATTTATTATGCAAGCCTGTATCTATGATCATGACTCTCCACAATTTCCTATCCTTTGCTGTTCTTTTTTTTTTCTTTTCACGATCTCTCCTAACCCCTGTTCTGCCAACTACTTACATAAGCTTGTTCTTCTTCTATATGCCATGCCCCTTCGGGACGTTGACAATCATGACTCTCCACAACTTCCAGTCCATTGTACCTCTTTGTTTGTCATTTGCTATCTCTCCTAAACCAACTATTTACACAATCTCGTTAGGTAGGTTATGCGATGTTTTCTTCTGTCCCTCTTGCCTTCAATATGTACAGTGAGTGTCAAATTTTCCGAGTACCCTTTCCTCATTATTAGCCGTAGAAATTTCGACTATCTCTTTCTGGTGTTCAATATACGTGTCCTTTTTGTTTCCATTTTCTCACATGTTCAGTTCATGATATTCTCAGCATCCTTCTGTAGAACCACATTTCTGTTGCCTCAAGTATTTTCTTCATCTGTGAGGAGATTTTTCAGCCTTCACTGTCATATAGAATGACTGATATCACATAAAAGTTAAGTAGTCTTTTCTTCGTTTCTCACGAGATTTTCCTGTTTCTTAATATTTTGCTTAGCTTTAGGGAAGGTATCTTTCGCCATCCCAATTCAAGTTCAAATTTTGGTGTTTTAAAACACTTCCCAGGCATTTAACTTGTTGTACTTGGAATTTCCAATTTGTAATCCGCATGTTGTGCTCTTCTTTTTCTGTCGTCTTGCAATTCATGTTTAGCCCTTTCTTCTTTCTTCTTGCAATTAACTCGAAGAAGACATAATCTATGAGCAAGAGTGACGCCAAAGGTGTGAGCTTCGAATTGGAGACATCCGAATCAAGAAGAAATTATACGATCTCGGCAGAGGACGACGGAAAATGTGAAGGCACATCATAACAGTAAAAGATGTCAACCAGAAACTAAGCAAAGTATTAAGACAGGAATATTTCATTAGAAACAAAGAAAAGTATACTGAAGAGCGATGTCATACCCATCCCGCTGTGTGACAGTCGATACAGAATAATTTCTTTACAGATAAAAAAGAGACTTGAAATGAGAGAGTTAAGAATACCATAGACAGAACACGTGAGAATCGAGGAAGTACTAACGAAAATTGGAATGAGAATGATGCCTATACTCAAAATCAGAAAGTGATAATTGAAATGTCTGGGGCACATTATGAGGAAGAACGGCTTGGAAAACTTAGTACTATCAGGTCGGATTGAGAAAAAGTGGGGTAGACGGATACGGCGAGCTAGTTAACTAATTAGTTTGTGTGAATAGTTAGCAGAGCAGACATGTGGGAGGAAGCTAAATAGTCAAATGTTGCTTAAAACAACAAAGGCCAGGGAGCCTTGATCGACCATGTCCTTAAGCAGTGCAGCACATGGATGTTAATGTATGGAAATCTATATTCTTTACGTTTTCCTTTTTACCAAAAATACACCTCTATCTACATCTATTTTATAAAAAGTACGAAAAAGCAATATAGCAGTGGTTGATTGATCGACTGTTTCGTTTTTTTACGGCTTATCAACACTTTGCAGATTATTTAAAATCAGAAAGTACTTTTAGAGTTTGTTTTCTTTGAGGATAATAATGATTTAGTAATAGAAGTTATAGTAATTAACCCATAGCTGGGGGGAGAAGTGGTGAATTCATACCTTTCCCAAAGGTATTTGTCTGTAAGGGAATATAACGAATCCATGGGGAACTGAAACTCCGATTAACAATGCTGAGCCATTATCCATTATTCCACCAGTACATCGAAGTTTACAGCACTTGGAATTTCCAAGCGGTCACCCATCTAGATACTGACCAGGCACGACGTTGCTTAGTTTGGTGATCGTACAAAACCGGTGTTTGAATGGGATTATGACCGTTATCCATTACTCCACTCGCACAACCAACTTTACAGAACTTGGTATTCCCAGGCGGTCACCCATCTAGATACTGACCAGGCACGACGTTGCTTAACTTAGGTGAACGTACGGGAACCGGTCTTTCAACGGGTTTATGACCGTTAAACATTACTCCACTCGCACAATCAAGTTTACAGAACTTGGAATTCCCAAGCGGTCACCCATCTAGCTACTGACCAGGCACGACGTTGCTTAACTTCGGTGAACGTACAAGAACCAATGTTTCAACGTGATGTTGCCGTAAGCCATAGATCAATAGATCGGTAAATTGGAACTAAACTGCCTGATGATAGCACTCCAAGATCCTTGCAAAAGTTGCAAATCTTTTCTCAACACGATTTAGGAAAATCTCTGTCTATTCGTGTGGTCTGCAACTTCTTTTTTTTTTTTAGGAATTCTGACATTTATGGTGAAACACGGATAGGAGCTGACAAGATAATGTAGAGTCCTAAATGGAAAAGACGACAAATTTTATGTCATGCTGTAGAACATCTGTCAGAAGAACTTCTGAGAATGACATAAACAATAAGCTAAGTGCAATACGTACTGAAATCTTCTAATAATATATTCACAATATCTTGCCTAGTGCTGTTCGTATACAAAGCCGACAGCATTTTTTTGTGTAAACTGCGCAAAGAATCCAGATGCCAGTGTGCAGAAATGATCCTCAAGGAATGCACTGATCTGCAGAATGTAACCTGGACAGACGAAAAGCGCGCTAGTCTTCATTGGCCTGACCACGACAGTTTTATTTTATTTTCTTTCTTTTTGGGGTATGATCTACGACAAGAAACACCGAGAATGGTCGATCATAAGTATGATGGTGATGGAATTATGAGTGAATTCTGGAGTGACTTTACTCTCTGTACGCTATGCTGTTTTGTTATTGTTAATGGAACTTTGACAGCACTCAAGAAACAAGAGAATACAGCTTGATCCCAGAGTTACCAATAAAAAAGGAAAAATGTTAAATGTCATGAGAACCGGCATCGTGAGCATTATGTAACTTTGCAAGCCGTCAGAGTGGAGGCTATTGCGCATGTGTAAGCAGACAAACTTCTGTGAGGTGACTCTGTCGGTAAGAAGAGATCATTAAGTACGCATGTGTACTCTGCGGCCATCGTATTAAAAATATAAGGAGTTTAAATTAAACATCGTATCAGCTCCCAACTGCATTGAAGATTTCGAAAATTGCGATTTTTTTTCACTCCAAACAAGGCGAGAGTGCCACTAGCACACAAAGAGTTACAGAGAATAGGAGCAAGAGTAAAGAGACGTGATTAAGGAGATGATAAAGACAAGGACGGGTAATTAGATCAAGGCATCAGAAGATGTCGATTGAGATTACATTTAAATATTGACATTTCAACTGTCAGGGAAGGAAGTAAGAGGAAGGGAGTTCCACAGACGAGAAGTGCGAGACATGAAGCTAAATTCAACCGTTTCAACAGTGAAAGAGTGGGACTGAGATACCAACCTAGTAACACTCTTAAATCCATGCATTTAGGGAACCAGCGAAAATAGGTCGTCGGAGCAGTTACCGGCAAAGTACTTGTAGAAAAGACAAAGGGAAGCGAGAGCACGTCTGTCAGAAAGTGACTGTAGGCGAGATCTCAGACCAGGACCAACCACATTGCATATCCGTCTCTGGATTTTGTCGAGGACCTTGAGACGAACAGCGGCGGCTCCAGACCATATATGGCAGCAGTATTCCATGCAAGGGCGAATGGTTGATTTAAAGATTTGAAGGATGGACTCAGGCGAGAAAAACTTTCTGGTACGACACAGAGAACCAACTTTCCTTGCGATAGACGAAGCTATTGATTCAATGTATTTGTTCCATCACAGGTCAGTGGACAGTGTGAGACCAAGCAGGCGCAGAGAGGCGCTCTCGTGGAGTTGAGCACCAGACATTCTAATGGGAGGCAAGGAGGGTTCTCTGTGGTTGGTAAATGAGAGCACTTCCTAAAATTAACATAATCATTGAAAGAGATGGCGATTTGAGACTACGGACGAGATTAAAGAGAACGTGGCGAAGCAATCGATGACGATCTCAAAACAGAATTTGGTAAATTATTTTGAAACATTGGAGAGACACTGTAATAAGTGTCTGAGATAAGATATTAAGGAAGTACTATGAAGCGGACTAAGGCGAAATGACTCAAGTTAGGCTATTTTAATACTTTCCAGACATATTTCGTCTATACAATAAGTATATTATTTAGTTAATGGGGCACCTGCAGTAGAAATAGTTAACATGCAAATCTCACGTGCTATTTCTCGATATCTTAAATCTGATCTTATAGGAATTTCGTCAAACGGATATTTGCTGCGTCAAAATGCTTGGGGTATTTCTATAAACATTCAAAATCATCTGTACTGACATCTGTGTAATTATAAATCTGGAATGTCATAGAGAACTATGTGACATATAATGGCAGCTTAATGATTATACGATAACTTATTAATAGTAAACATTGCATTAAATGTTTTTCTTTTGCAAAAATGAAGATAAAATTATATCACAAGGATTATGGTCTAACCTGAACTTAGATAGATAGATAGATAGATAGATAGATAGATAGATAGATAGATAGATATGAAGAGAATAAACTGAGATAGATAGATAGATAGATAGATAGATAGATAGATAGATAGATAGATAGATAGATGTTACTTTCCTTGCAGTAGATGAAGCTATTGAGTCAATGTATTTGTTCCATCTCGGGTCAGCGGACAGTGTAAGACCAAGCAAGTGCAGAGAGGCGCTCTCGAAGAGTTGAGCATCAGACATTCTAATGGGAGGCAAGGAGGGTTCTCTGTGGAAGATAGATAGATAGATAGATAGATAGATAGATAGATAGATAGATAGATAGATAGATGTTAACAGACATATAGATATATAGATGTTAACAGATAGATAGATAGATAGATAGATAGATAGATAGATAGATATTAACAGAAGTACATATTAACAGAGGTACCTATTAACATAGATATTAACAGAGTGTGATAGATAGATAGATAGATAGATAGATAGATAGATAGATAGATATTAACAGAAGTACATATTAACAGAAGTACATATCAACAGAGGTACATATTAACATAGATATTAACAGAGTGTGATAGATAGATAGATAGATAGATAGATAGATAGATAGATAGATAGATAGATCGTTCTAACAAGATATGAACAGCTTCACATTGATTACCATATCAGACTTGTCCTTTTTGTTCAAGTTCCAAATGTTCCCGTCTTGAAAGTCAGTTCTTCAGAATTAGATTTCACACTTTCCGATATTTGTAAACTCTGTCTGACAGTCGCTTTCCGAATTCCTCTTGCCCTGAGACATTTCTGTCGTCCACATTTTCCCAAATAAAATATATTTGACGCATTCTTGTGTCGGTAGAAGCAAACGAGACTGACATACAATAAAAAGTTCACTGAATGCGCTGGTAGAGTTAAATGGTAAGAACGCAGATTTTGAAAGTTCGCGGTTCTATACCCATTGTCACAGGAATCATACTCCTCAAAGTAAAAGAAATCTAGGATTTCAGATTAAAACAAATGAATGTTCGAATTGATATAGATATAGATATAGATGTTTACTGGAAGAAATGTGAATAGAGAGAGTATGCTATCTATCTATCTATCTATCTATCTATCAATCTATCTATCTATCAGTTAAGTGCCACCACGCGATACACGCTTGGGCGATGATATCTCTTTCGATTCATGACTGACTAAGCTGAAGATATTCCCGCAGTAGGCTACCGTTTGTAAGTGCGGTAGACTGATTGCCAACCAAGGCTATAGTCTATTCTGCTATTAAGACATAGCTGGGGAAAGAGGTGGATTCGTACCTTTCCTAAGGGTATTTGCACGCAAGTGAATGTAACGAACCCGACTAGAATTCGAACTCGGCTCTCCGGGTTCTCATTCTGAGCCGATATCTGCTACACCACAACGCCTGGTTTTTACTTGAACTCGAAGACCAACTTATATATATACTAAATTTCACTCGATACAAAGCTATAGAGACACTCATTATCTTCATATATATAAATATGTGTGTGTGTGTGTGCGTGCGAGTATATGTGTGCGTGTACATGTGTGGGCGCATATGTGTGTGTGTGTATCTCAAACCAAAGTATATGTGTGTCTCTGTACACAAAAAGAGAAAGTAGATTTGTTTGATTTTAAAACTTATCAACGCTTTGTCGGTTATTTAAAGTCGAAACATATGTTAGATTGTAGGAGGTTGGTTACAGTACTCCGTTCTCCCTCTAAGTACTAACCGAACTCGACATTGCTTAACTTCGGTAATCGAACGAGAATCGGTGTTTTCAGTACGATTTGGCCGTAAACAGCGAAAACAGAATGTCAAAACTGTAACATTTTCAAGACGTGATATATCGGTTGGTATGTTGTTCGAAATGGTGGGTCGAGTCGGTTGTGTCACAATGTTAGTTTCTACCGCTTCCTTCAGAGAAATATTCCAAAATTGGATTGTCTGTGCCTTTTGTTGAAAATCAAATTAACCGTCACTTCACCAAGAGAGTCATTTTTTTCTTGTAGTGTTAAACAGTACAAATTGTATGTCTTGTCATGACTGATTCTATTACTATTCGAAAGAAAATTATACCGACTACTTGTCAGTGAAGGAGAGGGAACAGAAAACAGAAAGTGACAGACTTCAAATCCTTTTGCTCGTTACTATCTAGCAGTGCGATTCTTAAGAAGCAAACATTCTCAATGGAAAATCGAGTCAAATTCTTTTTTAAAAGGAAATCTGCTCGCCTTCTTGCTATCTGTTGATTCGTTAATTCACGGATAAATGAAAAGGCACTGAAACCCGCTACATCCTTCCTCATATTCCGATGGCAATCTCTAGTTTCAGAAATACAATATATTTCCAACATCCTGTTTGCCTCTTTATTAGTTAGGGAATCTTCTTCTTAATCCTTAACTTTAATTTATTCTCCTCTAACTTCACAAACACACGTCTCTTGCCAAAATCTCAAAATTATATTTAAGATATAATTTTCAAAGTTCCCCTTTCTCCTGCATTTTTGTAGATTACTTCCCAATTATTTACTTTCTCTCCGTCTCTCTCGTTCTGTCACTTCGTTTTAGCAGCGCTATTTCAAAGACAATAAATAAACACATCAGAAAAATTGTAAAATAACATAGAAAAACATCCATCTTTTCAAATTAGGGAATGTCTCTATAGTTCATGTTAATTAAAGTATTGTTTGGTTTGCTTTGGTTTGTTTTACGGCATATCAACCTCAATGGGTTATTTAATGCCGACAAGATTTTTATTGCTGGTAATTTTTTTCAAAATTGTATTGCTGGTAATTTTTTTTTTCAAAAATGTATTGCTGGTAATTTTTTTTTAAATGTATAGCTGGTAATATTTTTTTTCAAAAATGGTAATTATGTATTGCTGGTAATAACCTTTCTTCAAAAATGTATTGCTGGTAATAATTTTTTACAAAGTATTTCTGGTATTAAGACCTATTTGTACACTTTCATAGTGTTTTGACCCCAGTTTAGGGGTTAACTATTTACCCATAGCTGGGACCGTAACATGCGCTACCACCTCAGATCAGGGTGGACCTGGGAATACCAGCAATTAAGAGGTCGTTCCACGCACCTCAAAACCTACTGATCAGAGGACTTACTGTTCGACGTAGTTCATCGTCTTACCCAGGACGCGGATGTAGTTTATAGATTATTGTACGAATACGGTAAACATGAACTAGTAGTATATAAACATCTTGCTTATCTTGTATGTCATTGCAAAAAAAAAAACAAATCTTATTACGACCTTTATTTAGCTTAAAATCCGTCTGAATTATTATGTAAATTACATAAATCTCAAAAAAAATTGTCAACTTTTAATTAATTGAGCCATCAAAACAAAGTTTGAGTTAAATGTTTAGGTTGTTTCAACAGGTTTTAATAAAGTTATCTTATTTATTATGAAAAAAATGCAATCTGAAATTATATTAGTTTAATACAGCACTAAACTAAACGCGAAAAAATACTACTAGATTCGTGTTGAGCCAATTGGTCTTCTCTCTAAAGATTGGCTCAACACAATCTTCCTAGTATTCCCTTTGATAATTGCTATTCGAAATTTTGGCTTTCATCCAGGTTAAAATAGTGAACATTGATGCTTGTGGTAAATTTGCTATTACCTCAGACGCCAAGCATGTTCAAAATAGTACTTACTAAGTTCGTGTTAGTATGGTACAATAGGATATATCCCGTTAGGATCGATCTTGTAAATTACTCTGGGACAATGCCGCAGGGATGGAGTAACAACGAAACAAGCCATCGGTGTCTTCATAGATAATTATTATTTTTAATTTACTTTTCGTACGTGATATTAGCGACCTTACAGTGCTCATGGACAAGAATAAATTATTGCTCATTTTTGCTACCATATCTGGGCGAGAGCTGCCTGTCTTGATAGATTATGGCACACGAGCTCTTAAATGACATTTCACTATCGACTGAGTAATGTCACGGATGAGTGTCTGTTGATGCTTGCACAGTCGGGTCTTCTCTGACAGGTTGCTAACATCAGTGCTGCGCAACCTGTTCTCGAGGTATTCAGATTGGCTTAACACATTCAGTACAATTAAAAGCTGTTGTCCCTTCAATTTAAATAAATTTATTTATTTATGTTTATATCCTGAAAGATCTGGTGCAGAGGTGGTGCAGATGAAACGAAGGCCCTGGCGGCGGGGGGCGTCCAATCAAAGAGTGAAATAACATTTAGGTTTTGAAATTTTGAATTGCCTCTCTTAACTTCGTTGTACAAGCGCCCTGTAGTCCCACAAGTTGGTGGGAATGTGGATCCGTGTTTTGATAATCGAGTCCGATTAGCACTCCCCCACTTGATGCTTAGTATTTATCGATCCACTCACGAGGATAGAATGTGGCACAAGGCCGGTTTAATGTGGGTATCTCCGAGCCCGTAGGCTCAGCCAAAAATATAGCCTTTTTGAACCTGCCTAGACGGGTTCAGGCCCTGTCTACTTCCCCGGACGAAACCTTGCCCTTCGGCAAAGCTTCGTCCGGGTTCCTCTCTGCCAAAGCAGAGAGTTCGACAGACGCCGACTCGGAAGCTCACAAAGGCAGCGTACTACACTACGCGTGCGTGAGAGAGAGAGGGGGAAGATACATATTCTTATGAACGCTACATCTTGGGTTCGATCCGTTCCTAAGTTTATACGCTAATCATATTTTAACAAGTACGATTTTTACAGGATGGAATTGCAAGTTTCGCTCCTATCTTTTTTTTTTATTATTATTTTCATTCATACAAAACAGAAATAGATTATATACTTTGTTTTGCTTGTTTTTTTTAATTTAGAGTTTTCCTTCTCCTAGATTTGTTGCCAACTAAAGCATAAGAGCCCAGTTTATTCTACTATTTAATACAGCTAGCATTTCTAATAATAAACAGAGAAAATAGTAAAATTGTGTAAGCTTGATTGATTTTTTTTTATTTATTATTCCTTTCTGTTATTGATTATTATGTGTATCTTTCCATGTGGTTCATCTGGTGGTCATCGCTAGGGATTGAATGTCTCCACCATTTATTCAACACATCCTTCAAGATTCTCACAGATATTACTAATGTCGGGTTCTGTCTTGTTTCAACTTCTCTAATGTCTTTACAAGAGGTTTTGGTTTCGTTCCATACACGATAATAATAAAGCCCTTACTTTCATGTTCATTATCATTATTTCTATTATTATTATTATTATTATTATTTCTATTATTATTATTATTATTATTATTATTATTATTATTATTGAAATATTTTAGCAAGAGCACAAAATTTTATTAATAAGCATTTCATTAGAAAAAGAAACAATTCATAACAAAAACGAGTGGTAAAAATATATTTTACCGTCAAATGGTAACTACTAAACGGGTTTTTCGGTCGCTGCTAATCAGTGCAAAAATCGAGGACAAAAATACGCAAAGTGACTAAAAAAATTTATATATACCCCAGTCTAATATTATATGCAAGAAAAATTAAAGGATAATTAAAGGATAATTTATTTTATGCCCACCAACCTGTTTACAGAGAGATGACTTGTAGAACAAAATGTACACTGATTCCAAAACTTTCAAGTCATAATCGATATTAGCCTTACTCGGGAATGAGAAAATGTTATATACACACTGATGGTTTTTAATCAAATGTTCAGCTATCGCAGAACCTGATATATTAACGCACTTATTTCATTATTATTATTATTATCATTCTATTTCTTTTGGTTTCTGGTATATCCTCATTTCTTTCTGGGTCCCGACCAGAGACCTAAAGTTAGAAATGGACATGACATTTTTCACTGAGCAATTTAAAAAAGAATCACACATATTTTACATAGATAAAGCCCTTCGTACTTGCGGTGTTTACTCATTCCCCCACGAGAATGAGATGTGACACAAGGTCGGATTAATGTGGGGACCCGAGCGCGTACACCCGGGTAGGGACGAAAATTCACCTCAGCCCCGCAACCTTCGTACTTGCGAGTACATTTTTTTGGTATTTCTTTAAGACATGGGCTACCAGGGATTCCTTCAATGAGTCTGTTGGAATCTTTTGCAATCAATCCCAGGGCTCCAACTACAACTACACACACACACACACACACACACACACACACATATAAACACACACACACACACATATATATATATATATATATATATATATATATATATATATATATATATATATATGCACACATAAGTGTGTAGGTCTGCAGAAAATAAAAAAGAACACGTTGGGTGCATAATCCGGGGTTTTATTATTGGTGGAAAATGTAAAGTTTCTTTTGATGCGTTTCGTCATTTAGGACTTCATCGGACTAAATTTGTTATGTTGGTACCACTACACATGCGCACGAACGAGGGATGCTGGGAATTATCTGTAGTCGCACCAACATAACAAACTTAGATCCAAGCAATGTTCTTGAAGCAGGTTCTTGATCCATAAGCCAGTAAATGTCTTTTGTGTTCTGTCTATATTATTTGTACATCCGTTCTCCGTAAATTATATTTCAGGATTCCTAGTTACCTTTCTATCGTTGTATTGATTTTTCTTAATTTTTTTATTGAAGTATTTTACGATCTTCAGGTGATAAGTTTGTTTGAAGAACATTTCTCAATTTCGGCCTTAAGACAACCCAGCATCACTTTCATCGAACCAGTTAAAATGTCCAACTTTCTGAAACCCTGCGAAGTGTGTAGAAACTTTAGACAAATATTCTTGTAGTTTTCACGAAGAAAAGAAATCTTAATTAGAGGAGAAAATGTCTAGAAAAACTTCCGGCACGAAAGAATCTTTAATTTTTTAAACATTGATACGTCTAGGAGAGGGTTATTCTTAGATATCACGTGTGAAAAATGACATGGTTGGTTTATTTAGGGACCAGCACACCTGGCTAAGATCAGAATAGTATTTTTGTGGTCTGCCTTAAATCGATGTTGCGTTCGCCAGGCTTTTGTCTAGAATCAGTGTAGCATCGGCGCCAATTTTAAAAAATTGTCACACACACACATAAATACTCAGAGACACATACACACACACACACACACACACACACACACACATATATATATATATATATATATATATATATATATATATATTATATATGCACATTTTTTGATGCTTCATCGCTTGAGAATGAAACTATACTCTAAATTTTAAGTTTAATTTTGGAATTAACTTTCAGACTTGAGTCTAGTTTCGAAACAATACTTTCTGTGTCGCGATGGAATCATATTTTTAAAAAATAATTACAATATTACATATAAAGAAATATAGTTTTAAGGTGTGCTATATTTATGCGATAAAGTGCTCAATATCAGAGATAGAGCGTATTTAAATATAAATGTGAACATTGAAGTCACACTCAGAGGCGACAGGCTGTTTCATATTGGACGCAATCGTCAAGCCGCCTGACGATTGCCTCCAGCATCGATCCTTCAAATCTCCAAATCAACCATTCGCCCTTGCATGGAGTATTGCTGCCATATATGGTCTGGACCCTCTTCTGTTTGCCTCGGGGTTCTTGATATGATCCAGAGACGGATATGCAATGTAATTGTCCCTGATCTGGCATCTCGTCTGCAGTCGCTCTCTCACAGACGTGTCGTCGCCTCTCTCTGTCTTTTTTACAAATACTTTCATGTTAATTGCTCCGAAGAGCTGCTTTCTCTGGTTCCCAGACTCCATGAATTCAAGCGTCCCACGAGGCTGGCATCCCGCTCTCACCCTTTCACTGTTGAAACTGTTAAATGTAGCCATCTCTTCTACTCCAATAGCTTCATATCTCGCACCTCTCGCCTGTAGAACTCCCTTCCCTATTCCTGTTTCCCTAATAGCTATAATCTCCAACTATTCAAATGTAATGTCAATTGCCATCTCCAGTTGCCTTGATCTATCCACTATCTTTCTCCTCATCCTTTCCTCTATCACTCCTATCTGCTCTGGCTCCAACTCCTCTGTAACCCCTTGCGTCTATAGTGACTTCCCGCCTTGCTTGGGGTGAAATAAAATAATATATATATATATATATATATATATATATATATATATATATATATATATATAAGTGAACATAGAAGTCAACGCTTAGAGGCGACAGTCTGTTTCATGCTAGATGCAATCGTCAGGCCACGAGTGCTGCTATTTTTCTCGTCTATTTATATATACAGGTCAGTGGTGCATTGTGAGTATTTTACCGGAAGTCGTTTATTTGCTTATTATTTATTTGGGTCAAATTATGTTGCTTGTTTTTATTTATTTTTTATTTATTTTTTTTTATTTCTTATCTTATATATTTATTTATTTATTATTTTTATTTTAATCGTAGTAAAAATTTGTTTATATCGCTTATTTAATAGTTTTGTTTTGGTTTGGGAAGATAATTAAAGCTATTTATTCAATTTTGAGGTTGATTGTTGTAGTTTATTCTAACTATTATTTTGGCAGTTTTTAATTTGTTTATTACTTCATATATTTATTTGGATTGATTATCTTTATTTGTCTTTTCTAACGGTTAGTTTATCGGGATCGGTTTGTTAGTTTATCTATTAATTTGGATGACTTTAGATCAATTAATTTTACTTGTTATTATTTACTTGTTATACTGTTTATTTTCTCTTTTCGGTTATTAAGTAACGTAGTATTTTTTTTATCGTTATATAACAGTTATAGCTATTTTTTTTCGTCCGATTTTTGGTTTGATTTTTTATAGTCTAACTAATATTTTGGTCATAATGATTTGCTAATATGTTTATTATTTACTTTATTTATTTGGGTTCATTAATTTTTTTTTTCTAATTTTTTATTCTATTTCGTTTATTCTAACAGGTATGATTTGGTAATTTGTTTGGGCTAATTTATTTTACTTATTTTATTGTCATTTTGTTTATTTATTTATCTATTTTTATTTTATTTTATTTTTTCCGTTTTCGATTTTTAAGTAACGTGGTAAAAATTAGCATGAAACAGACTCTAAGTGTTGACTTCTATGTTCACTTTTATATTTACACACGCTCTATCTCTGATATTGAGCACTTTACCCCATAAATATAGCACATCTTAAGACTATATTTCTTCATATATATATATATATATATATATATATATATATATTCAATAAATCAGCAACAGTTTAATGTATTATCTCATTGTCCGATTACAAAGTTTTGCGTAAAGCCACTCGTCAGGGTAAGATGGTTTTACAAATTGTGTTTAAATTACTTTTTCAGTGTCATTTAATGGGAGTACTAGCCTCTACCATACTGTGATAGCTAACGATTTTACCTCTGAAGCTAATTCGGTAATATAGTGAGTTCAAGCTTTACTATGGCCCCACTACTCTGACCTTATACTATACTAGACTAATGTTATCAAATATCTATATTTATCCTATTACGAGATCATAGTACGCGTTCGAGCCCAGATGATTTTAAAGGCATTCAAACAGACCTTATCCGTTTGAAAGATTGGCACAATATAATCTTACTAACCTCATTTTTGTGTCTGGTTCAAGGTTGAGATAGTTATGGATTTCAGAATAGTTTGAAATGCTGATGTCGATCTCCGATAAAATACCAAGTTTTTGAATGCTGATTTTCAAAGCAAGCATATATGACGTCAACGGTGGCATCCATTTCTACGCACACTTTAATTCGGGACTTGGGCCAAACTAAGCAAGGCTTAAGTAAATTCTGTTGGCTTTTAACGTTTTCTTCGTTATTCTGTTTTTCCTTCTCTTTTTTTTCCTTCTTTTTTTTCTCTTTTTTTTTTTTTTTTTTCGTTCTTGCTATGTTGGCGTTTGGTTCGTTGCAGGTTGTGAGTTTTCCCCGCGTGCTATTTCAACGCGACTCGTGAGCGGCACCTGGTGGTTCTTCACCCTGATCATGATATCGTCCTACACCGCCAACCTAGCCGCCTTCCTCACCGTGGAGCGGATGATTTCGCCCATTGAACGGGCCGATGACCTAGCCAAACAGAGTGACATCAAATATGGTACCCTATACGGTGGCTCCACTATGACTTTCTTCAAGGTAAAGTATCAATGCTCGTCGAAATTCACGCATTCATTCATTGCGATCGTTGTTGTTGCTACTGTTTCAAAAGCCAATTCTTTTTAACGTATTTACCTATTTCTTCTTCTTCTTCTTCTTCTTCTTCTTCTTCTTCTGTCTCTGTTTATGAGTCTTCTTCTTCTTCTTCTTCTTCTTCTTCTTCTTCAATCTTGACCTCTTCAAGTTTAGGGTCAATCGTTTTCTATCCCACATAGCTTCATTATTTTTACTTCCTACTTCTTCTTACCTTCATATCAAACGCCTAATTCAGCAAACCACTACCTTGAGATGCTCTTGGGTCTTGTATAAGGTGAACATTAGTTAAAAAAAAGAAAATTCATATTTTTACTTCTGGCCTTTTATTCTAAATCGTTTGCTTACATCATCGAATTTCAAACAATAGAATTTAGTCTAAAACTATTGAAGCGAAACTTTTTGGCATTTTAATGAATCGTTTTATTTTTGTTTTTGCAGACTTCAAAAATACCGACTTACCAAAGAATGTGGCACGTAATGGATTCAACCGAACCAAGTGTGTTTGTTAACTCATCTCAGGAAGGAATTGATCGAGTATTGAAAGGAAATTATGCCTACTTGGGCGAGTCGGCTATCATCGACTACAACGTCCAACGTAATTGCGACCTGATGCAAGTAGGCGGGCGTCTAGATTCTAAGGGATATGGCATCGCGACCCCTAGGGGTAAATACACGAATGATTTGCTTCATTTCATTTATCAAAGAGACGAACTCTTTGATAAATCATTTCTAACCTTCTATTGCTGTTGTGTTATGAAGACTATCAGAAAATCGTTGTTTTGCAGACAGAAATTAACCCTGACGTTATGTTATCCCCTTTCACCGCTTAAAGACATTTTCTGAGTTATTGGCTTTTCTCTCATCTTAACAAAGAAGCAGATTCTTTGATAAATCCTTGCTAAGCTTATTTCATTCCCGTTTTGTCAGTACAATGAGAAAAATCTATGTCAGTTCAGATAGAAATAATCACGACTTGTACTATGCTTATTCTGATGCAAGACTACAATAATACCAACATTTTAGAATACCGGTGAGGATTGAACTCACGACGCCAGTAATGGCCGATCGATATTAGCTTGCTAACTTGAAGAAATGTTACTATATATATATATATATATATATATATATATATATATATATATATATATATATATATATATATATATATATATATATATATAGTAAAGAGAGAATTAATGTTCCCGGAACCAACGCACTCTGAATTTAACGGACAAAAGCCGCAGAAATGGTAGTGTCCGGCTGGAACTCAAAATGTCCGCGAGTAACGAGCAAAGTCCGATAGTTCCAAAATTGGCCGCTGTTGTTTACTGGCGCAATCAACAGACAGAGACGCAGGTAGCTCCGGGAATAACCGATGTTGTCTACTTGAGCGCTCGTCGCAACACATATGCACCGACCGTCTCTCTCTCTCTCTCTCTCTCTCTCTCTCTCTCTCTCTCTCTCTCTCTCTCTCCTCCCTGTGTCTGTAATTTATTTTAAGTTACTCTATAGTAAGTTCAAAATAAAATACATACACATATATACTGTATTTATATTTATTTACCATAATTGTGTACTATACTAGGTGTTTTTAGGCCACGAAAAAAAGTATTTAAAATTAACGGACAAACGACTTTAACGGACGATCCCAACTATTAGTCCGTTAAATTGAGGTTCCACTGTATAATAGTTGTTTGTTCTTAATGAGAAAAGGAAAGCGTACTTAATAAGAAAAAAAGAACGAAAGAAAGAAAGAAAGAAAGAAGTGATAGCAATCTCGTGTGTTTAACGTCTACTTCCGTTAAATAGAAAACCATACCATTTTTTATCCTTTTCATTTATGCCCTCTTATTTCTTTAAATAATAAGTTGCATTCGTACTTATGATTGCTATTGCAATATTTTTTTAAAAGGTGTTAAGCTCAAATATTTAACGATGTAATAAGGAAATTTCTACGAGTATTTTATGGTCGTAGAACTCGCAAGGAGTTTATCCAATTATTAAATTAAGAATTATGTTGCGTCAAAAAATTGAATTAGAACAAATATGAAACTTTCCCGATTACTGTTAGCAATAATAATTCATCTAATACATGGACGGATTGTGCGTTCCCGTTGAACGCTTATTTTTACGCATGAACTTTGTGGCAATATGAGTAAAATTCAGTTAAAATGAACAATGTTCAATTCTGAGTGATGCAATAGAATACAGACAGATAAAACTGATTATATATTATATAAAATTTCGGGGAAAAAAAGGTTTGTTTTAAATTGACTGTCATTGTAATCTTTCTTCATGTCCAACGCTAAACATTGATCTTTGCCTTTCAGAGTCTCCTTATCGAGACCTCATCTCAGATGCTATCTTGAAACTGCAAGAAGAGCAAGTAATAACCCTGTTATATAACAAATGGTGGCGCGAAGGATACGGGGCAGTGAAATGCGAGAATGAAGACGCCAACAAGGATGCCAGCGAATTAGGCGTGTCCACTGTTGGCGGCGTCTTCGTCGTGCTCGGCGGGGGACTGGCTACCGGTCTCATCGCCGCCATGATGGAGTTCGTTTGGAAAGCCAAGAAAAACGCAGAAGAAGACAAGGTCGGTATTTTCGTTTTTCTCTATCGACAATTTTCTTCCAGATTTTGTTTCTTTTCCTTTCTTTTGTCTTATTTCTCCACTCTCAGCACGTTTCTCTCTTCTTTTATTGTTTAAGCAGCAAACCCTCTCTAATATAATTTTCGTTAGAATTAACTGACAAGGCTTCCGTTAAGTATTTTATTGTATTATTCTTGCATGCAAACAATAAAATCTTAGTGAGTGTAGAAATTGTCTAAATGATTGTTCTTTCCAAACAATTTCGTCTAATCTATTAACCATTTTTAAAGATTTTTATTGTGCTATTTTAACAAATCTATAAGTTTCTGAAAGGTAGATGTATATATAATTTCCGAATACGGCCGGTATCGAGGTTGATACAACACTTCATGTTGGTTTAAATCTAGAGTCGGCCATCTTGATACGCGAGTGGTGTTATGTCCGACAAAATTATTAAAGAATTTGTTTTCCTCGTGAACACACTTCTTTATGAGGCACATACACACATAAATCTTTCTAATACTGAGTCCAAGCCCCAGGATGGGGGGCTTCCCCCCTCCACACACACACACACACACACCAGCCAGTACGTCTCGAGAGAGAGGAGGCTGGATCTGTTGCCCACCGCCTGAGGTCTACACAAAAGGGAAAGTGCTGAGGTGGGCTTGGGCAATTTTTTCACGATATGGCGGTTAAAACCACTTTAAACCTCGACCTTGTGTCACATCCGGTTGCGATATGAGCGCCCTAATAAATACCAATACACACACACGTGCGCATATATATATATATATATATATATGTGTGTGTGTGTGTGTGGCAAGAACAGTAATGGGAAAAAATGTAAGACAAAGTGTAAAATTTTTTCGTGTGAGCCATTTCGTCCATTAGGACGGCATCGGACTTATACGAAAGCTTTATCTAATTTATCATACATTTTTTACCCATATATATATATATATATATATATATATATATATATATATATATATATATATAGTGATGAGTTGTAAAGATTGTTTGAAGTCAAAATTGCTGAGTTTCAGTGGTTTGTTGGTAGAAAGGCCTTTAAGGCAAGCAGACTTTGTGATAAAGTGCTCGATATCAGAGACAGGGCGTTAATTAAAATTAATATAAAGAAATTGTCACTTAACTAATCGATGTTACCCACGTTATGCCAACTTCGAAGTTTCGTAAACGTATAGAATACGTTCACTTCGTCAGAAAAACTGGACAAGCTCTGACGAGTGAATGTATGCTATACGTTTACGAAACTTTGAAGTCGGCATGACGGGGTTAATACCAACCACTTAAGTGACAATTTCTTTATATTAATTATACATACATACATACATATATATATATATATATATATATATATATATATATATATATATATATATATATAAGACAGTTTGTAAAACTTCTACATTGACTTCATCTATGAATGTACATCACTAATCATGAAAAGAATTTTATTTCACAAGAACCAGATCTATATTAGCAAGACGGGACGTGATTCACTTACTTTAAGAATCTAAAAGTATGTATGATTTTTACTTTAACTCAACCGTTATAGAAATTTGATTTTAACATATTTCAAAACAGCTTCAATTTTGCTTCAATGTTTATGTATCTTATATCGTTTCAGTACTAATCTAGTACTATAGGATGTACGGTGGGGCTTTGACAGCTAACTGCTAAAGAAATTCTTTTTAATTATTATTGAACATCGAGAAGTTGAAACTGACTTATTAAACCGACGGGTATAACAGCCAATTGTGTTTTTAACTCATTAACATTTTTCTTCGTTTGTTTTATTACATAGAAACCTATTTGCTTTAAAAATTATCATTATTATGATCCTAAATCCATTCATATATTCGATGTATGGGACGCAAGCTGATTTTGACATCAAATTTTAGAGTAAAAAAGTGCGGGATGTTTTCTGTTAATTCACCCCAAATAATGTGAAGTTACTCATCGCAAATATTAATTCATCCAAGAAATTATAAATTTTAAATCAAAGTTTGTTTGTTTTCTTATTAAATTTTTGACACTCTTTTAAAATTATAGATTCTAAATCAAAATTTGTTTAGCTTGACTCGCAACAACTTCAACCCTCAGAATGAAAAATTATCAAAAACCAATAAGTATTAGGTTGGTGCAAAAATAATGACGTAATAATGTCGTTTTTTGACGTCAAAAAATACGTCAAAAACGACATTATTACGTCATTATTTTTGCACCAACCTAATAATTCACATTTCGTAAGTGCGTGTGATATTCGAGGTACTTACAGGGAATTTTTTACATTTAAAAAAAAAAGAAAAAATCTGTTTTCGGCTTGTCTATCGGGGTGAGCGCGAACGTAGACACCCCCACCATCACCATCACCATCACCATCACTGACACACTTAGAAATAGTGCACCTGACTCGCCCACATTTTGGGGTCAATCCAACCGGAATGCAATGGATAGGCCTCGCTGTGGGAGGATTTGGTGTGAATTTTAATAAATACAAATTCTTTTTTCGAATTAATATTTTGAAGTGAATTAACAGAAAAGAACCGAAGTGGCGTCATATACAACGAAAATAATACGGAATCTTGCGACAGCACTGATACTCTTATTAACGGTTACAACTTGTTTTGTTTTGTGGGAGCGGGGGGGGGCTATTTTTCCCCCTTTTTTAAATTTTTTTTTACTCGTCTTCTCTCTTTGCAGCGTTCCATTTGTGCAGAAATGCTAAGGGAATTCCGGTTCGCAATGAAATGCTTTGGTTCGTCGAAAAAGACAGTGAAGAAAGGACCCCGAAAAAAAAGTATCACAGACAACGGTATTCACTTCATGCCGCTGGCAGGCTTTAGTGCAGCCACCGGCAAGGAAGCCTACGGCTAGGCGTGGGCGGGGGGTAGTTGATGGGACAGTGTGGGTCAGTAGGGGCGCTAAGTGCAGCCACGCCCACCAGTCAACCAATCAACTCCTCCCCCATTCGCAAACTCAGTGAGAGGCAATGCTAGGACTAAACACCGCCCACGGACGTACACATTCCCGTGGGGGTGCGATTTGGGCCCTTACCTCAATCGAACACTTACCTGCAATATTTTACATTTTTGGTTTCTTTTTGGTTGCGATTTTTAATTTTTTTTCTAAAATTTTGGTCGGGACACTCAAAGATTCCCCCCAGAAAAAATATTATTATTGAAGGCAAATTCTATCATTACAAATAATTTGGAGATAGACGGAAGGATTATTTAGTTATTTTCTCTATCGTTTCACATATATTCCGTGTTGTTTAAGACATTAGAAATTGAGATTGAAAGTTAAAAATTAAAAAAATATATATATACACAAATATATTCTCCGGACTACGGGACCGCAAAAGTTATTACAGACGATTTTGTTTACTTCAGCTAAATGAAGGCTTTACTTGCGCACACACTGTCGTTCGTAGAGCCGTGCTTTTCCTCCGAGTCTAAAAAGGGTTAAATTGCTTAGCTTCTTTTTATACTAAGGAAGAAACATTTATAACCAGCAGAGTAAAAAATGATCGCGAGATACCAGAATACCTGTCAAGTCGGCTTTTGGCTGCTGCGAAAGTAGACCAAGGAGGTATAGACATTTATCAAATTTAGTCTGATACAAAGCTAAATGGCTGAAAATTTCATAGTCAAGGATTTGAAATGAGTTGCAGGACTGTGGCCTTCTTATCATTCCTGAATCTAAACCCACAGACATTTGTTATACTCGAGCGAGTAATTGCTAAAACGATGGTGGTTTTTGTTTTGTTATTTTTTTATGAAGACGGGAGAAAAAAAAGAGTTTACTGTTTTCTGTGCTATACTCACAGTAACAAGACAGATACACAGTGAAAACTACACAATTTTAAGGACTAATTGCTAACAGAATTGTTTTTGGTAGATTTAGGGTAATATGATGCTATGTCCAAACTTTACAAAGACATTTTCACGATAAACCATAATTTATGTTTACCGAAAGAACGGTGATAAAATAATTAACAAGAAAACATTTTTGTTTTATTCTTCAACGCCAAGTTTTTAAAAACAATGATGATAATATTTCCACAGTATGCTTATTACGTTCATTTCTATTTTATTGACTCCTCTCTCCCCATATATATATATATATATATATATATATATATATATTCATAATTCTCACTTAGGTTCTGAACATGATATTTCTGCTTTTTAAATATAAATAAGCGATGAAATATATAAGCCGTAAGTCGAGCGTTTTGGATTAATCGCGGGAAAATCTATAAAACGTAAAAAAAAAAAAAAAAAAAATTTTATTCAATGCTATTTATCAAATCAGAGCTACATACACATCTATATTTGCATATACAAATGTATACACATGAGCGTTCGCGCACAAACGCACACACCCTATATAAGTGAACATTGAAATCAACACATATTAGCGGGAGTCTGTTTCATGCTTAATCTCAGAGAGATGACCTGACGAATGTGTTTATGCGTAAAACTGACTATGGCTGCTGGCTGTTGACTTCAATGTCGACTTTTATTTTTACATACATTCTATCACTTATATTGAGCACTTAAACCCATAAATATAGCATACCATAAAACAATATTTTTATCACACACACATATATATATTTACATATATACAGACACACACACATATATATATATATATATATATATATATAATTATCGCACATTGAATGCAGGTGTTAAGAAAATTGTGCTCGATATAGAATAACAGAGCTATAAATTATATCGTAATAATAAATATATTCAGGTCTGAATATATAATATATATATTTGGATTAAGACAAAAGGAAAACTTAGCCGATGCGTTTCGTGCTCTGATGAATTTTTTTTATCAAGGCAAATGTAAATGTTTTATTTTTGCATTTAGATTTGTCTTGATAAAGTCCATTAAGGGACCGAAACGCGTTGGCTAAGATAAGTTTTCCTTTTGACTTTATTCATATTGCCGTTTTACAGATCTGTTTTTAGTTATATCTGAATTTTAAACACACATACATTATATATATACATATATATATATATATATATATATATATATATATATATATATATATATATATAAAAAAACTTAAACACTAATATTCCATGGTCATAATTTATTCCATTGGAATCGTAAATACGATCCAATTCATCAGACCAACAAATTCAAAAAGAAAACAGAAAAAACAACTCCGGGAATAAAAAATAAAATTTACTGAGAGTGTATGTATGAGAGTGTGAGACGAATGTTAGAGTAAATATTTTAGATATATGATTGCATATGCATGTGTATATTTACCACTAATATATATATATATATATATATATATATATATATATATATATATATATATATATATATATATATATATATAGAGAGAGATAAACAAAGATTGTTTACGCTTAGCAAATCAGGGAGACGAGGAGGGTAATGCGTTCAAAGTGAGCAGATATTTGTAAATGAAGTGCTCCATATTTTTAAAAAATAGTAAAACACGAGTAAAGAGATAAATAAAAATCAATTTTATTCATCGATTCATTATATATATATATATATATATATATATAATGAACAGATATATATATATATATATATATATAATGAACAGATATATATATATAATGAAATATATATATATATATATATATATATATATATATATATAAATAATGAACAGATAACATTGCACTCAAATAGAAATTTGTGATGATGTTTATTTCTTCCGTATTTGCCATTTAATTTTAGATTTAAATAATATTAAATAATATTTAATAATTTAAACAATATCTTAAATATATTCATAAATGATGAAAGCACAATCTATTTAAAACAATTAAACTTAAAGATATAAAGAAAATCAAAGCTATGTCAATATGGAATACACTTTAAATTATTGTTTATTATTTGTTTAGTGAAAAATCTGCCGTAAATCTTTACGTAATTTCTCAGCGTTACGATTACAAAAAATCGTTAAATACAGACTTACTGATATACAAAAAAAATAATTTCTTCAATGTCCTAAATTTGAAGTATATCTCTGTGTTTCAACGTACTCTTTTTAATGTCTTCCCAAAATGCCATTCTGCCACCATCAGTATCGCGGACAAACTAAATTAACTATAAGCGAAGTAAAATGGATTTAAGGAATTCCTTGAAATTCGCCCGAAATATTTCAGCGAACTATCAAGGCATTAGAAAAGTTGAGATTTTGATCAATTACAGCACATTTTGATACTGTTTTGAAAAAAAAATCTGTGTTCGTTCTGTGATATTAAATGTGGTTCCATAAACAAGAAAGTGATAAATACGTGTGTAAAAATGCATACAAATGAATAAGCTTTGTTTTTTCATTGCCTTTTTTTATTTTTACTTATGATAATGAGAATCCTAATCTTATGTTTTTAATAATTGTTTTATTCTTCTTCAATAATTTGTTCAGTGTTTTATCGGAATTATCTCCCCTGTTTAATCGCTACACCAAGTTATCCCGACTGAATTATTGCCCTTTCACGACGGCCTTCTTGAAGGTTTCTTTTTTTTAATGTATAAAGTTTTGTAAGTGATTAGCGTTATTGATACAATCTTCTGCTTGTCTAAAATCCTGATGTCTATATTACCAAATATTTTTTTTGCCTCGTCCAGTTTTTCGCCATTTGCAAAATAGGGCTGAAATGTTTGAGAAATCCTCTCTTTTCTATATTACCTGTCATTTACGGGTCTCAAAGCACACAGTGTTTGTTAAAATTTATATATATATGAATACACACACATATATATATATATATATATATATATATATATATATATATTAAAGTTCCTTAAACTACATATATATATATATATATATGTAACTATATTAAAACTCCTTAAAATTGCATATATAGCATATATATATATATATATACTAAAACTCCTTAAAATTATATACAAATCTTAAAATTATATATATATATATTTGTATGTATATACATATATATATGTATACATATTCATGTGTATATATGTATAGTTCTGCATATATGCATTTTATATGCATACATACATATGTATACACATACATTTATTTATATATATATATATATATATATATATATGTATAAAATTTTTATTATAATCCACTTAGTGCAGAGTCATATTTTATCATCTGGAAGTGGTAAACAAATGTTTTATTAAGTTTTATATTCCAAGAGTTCTACCTTTTTAGTTAAATAGGCTTTTTTATATAAATTAACTAAAGAAATATTAAGTTACATTTCATACTAAATAAATCATCATTTTTTTTTTAAATAAAAGTGGTATCCAATAGTAAACAAGAAATTCACCAATGATATTATCTATTTTAATTTTATCAATTCACTATTTTTCTCCAGAGGGAAAAGGGATAATTCACCAAATATCCTAAGATTTACAAAAAAAAAAAAAAACGTTTAGATTTCTATAAAAAAAAATTAACAATTAAAAACAAACAAAAAATATTGTGGTTGTGTTTAATGATATTTTAACTATTCTTCAACAAAATTATGTCTATTGTCAAGTCATCAGTTAAAATCTTTAGTAAATATATGTGTAAATATATTTAGTAAATATATATATATATGTACAGCACTGAGATTATTTACACTTGGATAGAATTCTTTTTTAAATATTATGAAATGTATAATATTTATATTTCCATCCAGTTCTCAGCCTTACAATTCTTAAAATTTTGCCGGTGTCTGATTAAAAATTGTATCCAATAATTTTTTAATGCTACAACTATAAATTAATTTAATAATTTCAATGTTGGAAAAGAAACTATTTCTAACAGATTATACACACACACACACACATATATATATATATATATATATATATATATATATATATATATACATACA